ACCCACCGTCACACACACACACACACACACACACACACACACACACGAGTTCCTTCCCTCCAGCACCCCACATTCCTCTCCACACACACACCCGTTCCATTCTTGCATTCCTTGTTTCTGTCTACACATGCACAGTGTTTCCTTTCCCTCTTGTCCCTGTCCCCCCACAATCTAAGTTTCCACTTCCTCCCCTTCCCTCTGAGTTACTTTTATATGTGTATCTCTTGCTCTCACTCCCCCCCCCAACCTTTCTCTCTGTGTGTATATCTATATCTAAATGGTAATTTTGGCTATTTTTCATAACTGGCGGTTTATCTGCCAGCACATAAAATCTTCTTCTTTATAGGCACTCACAAAGAACATCCATCTTTCAAAATGGCCTCACTCCCCTTAGTTCTCAAGGGGAGTGAAACCACAGCTTCCCTCAGATGAGCTGCCCTTTTCCATAATGGCCACTCCTCCCACCTTGTTTCCAGCAAGAATGAAACCAGCAACCACCACTGATAAAGCTTTTATGGGCAGCCCAGGGAATTACAGACCAGTCAGCTTAACTTCTGTACCAGGACAGATAATGGAGGAAATAATTAAAGAATCAGTTTGCAAACATCTAGAAGATAATAAGGTGACAAGTAACAGTCAGCATAGATTTGTCAAGAACAAAATATGTCAAACCAACACGATAACTTTCTTTGACAGGGTAACAAGCCTTGTGGATGGGGGAAGTGGCAGACATGATATATCTAGACCAGGGGTCTCAAACACATGGGCCACGGGCCGCATGCGGCCCCTGGAGTTATTTGCTGCAGCCTGCCAAGCTCCCCCCCTTCCCCGCAACATGCCACATCCCCACTGCTCTGCCTACCTCCAGGCGCTTCCTGCTGCCAAACAGCTGTTTGAAGGCACTTAGCGCTTCCCAGGAGGGAGGGGGAAGAGTAGGGAGCCGCATGCTCAGGGGAGGAGGTGAAGAAGAGGTAGGGCAGGGGTGGGGATTTGGGGAAGGGGTTGGATTAAGGGCAGGGAGGGGGTAGAGTTGGGGTGGGGACTTTGGGAAAGAGGTTGGAATGGGGACAGGGAAGGGGTGGGAGGAGGTGGGGCAGAGGCAGGTCCTCATGGAAGGGGTGGGGTGGGTCGAGGCCAGGGGCAGAGCAGGGGCTTTTGTATCTTTATATGTAAAGGTGTCAGTGATGCAGCCCTCGGGCCAATGTACTGGTCCTCCTGTGGCCCTCGTGGTGATTTGAGTTTGAGATCCCTGATCTAGACTTTAGTAAGGCTTTTGATACAGTCTCGCATGACCTCTCATTAACAAATTAGGGAAATAAAACCTAGATGGAGCTACTATAATGTAGGTGCATAACTAGTTGGACCTC